GATTTAGTTAACATATTACGTAGTGTATTAAATTACTAATAAAATTGGCTTTCAAATGAAGTGTCACACTTTTTCTGAGATACAGCTGGTCGCCATTCTTAATAAATCATCCTGTATATGTAATTACCCCTGAGGTATCCCCTTTCTAACAAAAAACAAATAATAAAATTCGGACAACGTGGTAAAGAATTATCACTGAACATACATAAAAAAATATTTTGACGAATTGAGAATATCCTCCTTTTTGAAGTCGGTTAATAAAAAGTCAAATAGTTTGTCAGCGTTATTATTAAAACAGAAATGTAAACAACTACTATTAATCACTCTCTCTTTATAAACATATAATATTACTTATTATTTGTTATTGTTTCTGTTCGAACTGTTTCCAAATACCAGGCTACACAACGACCGTAAAATGATCTGCGATTGCTGTTCTAGATACACTTACTTAGCGCGCCACCAACAGGCGACTCCTATGAACTATTTTGTATAAAAATATGGCTATACGAGCCCATGTTAAGCCCTTCTTAAATTTTAATGGATTGAGTCTTACAGTATTATTCGCCGATTGGCAATGGTATACACGTAAAACGTTGTTCAGCCCAGCAGTGGGCTAAACAACGTCATTTCGGGCTGTACAAAGTACTAATTGTATGTAGAATGGGCTGCACAATGACCGTTTCTATGTCTATATATATATATATATATATATATATATATATATATATATATATATATATATATATATATATATAGGAAAAGGAGGGTAATACTGACTGATTTGTTCAGAAAAAATAGAAATATCTTGCAGTCAAAGATTAGGAGGGCTTTTTAGTAAATGAAATGAACTCTTTTTTGTTTGCTAAGCTTTCGGAAAATGTTTATTTCCTTCATTAGAACATCTGCAATGAATACAAAAATCGTTGTTAAAAATTAGTTACAAAAACAGAATAAACTAATTTACTCACCAAACTGAGATTAAAAGAAAAAGTTGACATCAAATACACAATTAAAAACTTTTCTTGTTATCATTATACATTATAAAATTTATTTAAAACAAGAAAAAACCAACTATGGTAAAAAATTGAAGACAGAAAATTTTATTAGTGGAATTTTAAATCCATCATCGTCGATTTCTACGTTAAAACAGACTAACTACTGACACCATTGTATAAAGAACTAATAGTAGTCTCACCTTATGGAAGTTTCATTGGAGCGAAATGGATACTATCAATAGATGGCGCTAGTGAATATGGATAAGTCGATATTCGGTTGCAGCATGTATAAATGGTTGCAGTGGGCGGAGTTGAGGGTCCACCTGAAGTTTTAGGGAATGACGGAGACCGATCGATGGATTTCCATTTTTAGCTCTTGGGTGAAATTTCATTCACTGGTGATATATTATTTGGACTATTTTCTATCTAATGTTTGTTATTGTGCGTTGTTAGTGCGTTTACGGGTAGAAGGTATTGTGAATGAGTGAATGAAAAAAATTAAATTATAGTTTAAATTAGTTTTTGGAAAGAGTTAAAAATGTTTACCGAATTCAGTAAAATATTATAGCCATAAATAATTTTTGAAAATTCAACTTTAACACGGGTATTTTTTTAAGCATATTTCGATTAATAGTTTTATTTTTAATCAGATAATCTTTAGTTGTACTACATCTAACTACATCTAACTCGAAACATTTTTTTATAGATATTCATTGAAAACGAAAATACTGAAAAATTTAAATTTAGCACTTTTCCTTCAATTTCTTCAATACGGTCCATTTTAAAAAATCATATAAAAACAAAAATTATAGAGATCGATATCACAAATAACTTTTATTTAAACAATTTTCCTAAAAATTTGAATTTTATTACATTTTGTCAAATTTCTCGAATACGGACCCTTTAAAAAAAAATTGTATACAACCAAAATTATAGATAATGATATTGTAAGTAATTTTTATCTGAACAATTTTCTTCTCCAAACATCACTAACAGATATATTTATCTGTTTTTGAGTTTTCTTCAAAATTCGAAATTTACACATTTTCTCAAATATCTCGAATACGGTCCATTTTAGAGAAATTATGTAAAGAATAAAAATTATAGAGAATTATATTACGAACAACTTTTATTTGAACAATTTTTATAAAAAAATAATTTTTTTACATTTTGTCTAATTTCTCGAATACGGACCATTTTAGGAAAATTTTGTATGGAACAAAAATTATAGATAATAATATTATAAGTAACTTTTATTTAAAGAATTTGCTTCTCCAAACGTAAATAACAGATATATTTAATAAAATATAAAAATGACCACCAATAAAGTACCCCCCCAAATGTTCCGACTGTGCCCAAAAACTAATCAGTTCTTTGGTCGATGGAATAAAGCTTAAGTTTGTGACAAATTAAAAGGAAAGTAACAGTTGTTATATATTCAAAATATATTTAAAAACTAATGTAACAAATATTTTATAAAGTATAGAGTATATCGATACCTTTTTGCCAGACTATCATAAGTGCCATTTGAACAAATGTCGCTTACATTAGTCTGGCAAAAAGGTATGGATATGTTATGACTGTTTATTTTAATAGAAACCATGGAAACGAAACAAACACACATACACTCAACACAAATGTATAATGCCCGAGTTGAGTAAGATCCCATCCTGTAAACTGGATCGAAACCTGCTAAACCCATTCCGTACACCCCCTGCTAACTTCTCTTAGGATCATCAAGATCAATAGATTTATATGCCATGCCTTCTAAAAGGGAATGAAGCATGACATACTATCATCATTTAAACAGGACATTGCTGAAGGATTACCCCTGTTATTTCGTTTGTTTGTGTATCTTGTGCGTATGCATTCCTGTTGTGTCCCCAGTCATGTAAAAGTTTTCCTAGTCTCCTAATTTGGTTACTAGGTGGACCTTTTCCAACTAGTAGTCTAATCTATTTGATCTGTTCTGCAGCAGGAGGTACTTTTCAAACATAACAAATAATAATAAACACTATTTAAAGATGAATACATTTTTGTAATTTTTTGTCAATGCCCCTTACCTGTCTCTTACACCACTAGGGTATACCTATTTTCCACATTCCCTTTATTACAGATTACCTTACAATGTTTGAATGAATATAACATTTTACCCATGAAAAATCTAATTTCGTATTTAACTCTTTTTCAATTTAATTTCAAACAATTGGTATATTACAATTTATCAAGGAAATCTTCTATTAAAGTTATAGCAAATCCTACTTAAACTACTGGTTGTTCTGCAGGATAAATTAAACTTTTCTTGAGATTGATCTCTCTCTAAAATCCAAAACTGACCTGATGTCCCCAAATTTATTTTCCAATCCATCCTGATTTAAAATTCTGCCCTTTTGTGATTCAATTTTTTTCTTCCTTTAGAGTGGCTATTAGAGGTAGGTGTATGTAAGAAATAGCCAATCTCTAATCATTTCAAAGGTCCTTTGCCAATACTACATGTGCAGATTTTTTACTCTGTATACATTTTACTTTTCTAGTAGGTAGGAACTTTGTGCTACCATTAAAGCTGTCCAGACATTCATCTACCAACTTAATGAACAAAAGTAGCTGTAACAATGTATTTCTGTTCCAATTCACCTAAAATAGTTATAGCCATTTTGTAATATATTATTAAACACACACATTATACAATGGTTTTCTTAATAAATTGGAAATTACTTACCTCTAGAAAGAAATGTGTACAAAGACGCGAGTTTGGTTCCAGAAATTGCTTCATGCAAAAAATAATATGCAAAAATAAACAATCCCCCCCCCCCCCCAAAGAAAATTAAACAACAAAATCAGACTCAAAGAAATAAACGGGGCCCAAATTAAATTAATTTTAATAAAATGCACACGTTCATAACAACATTCATAAACATTGTCAGCTGTCAGTTTTAATCGATACGTCAACGTCAAAAAACCAGCAACATCAGCGACCTCTTAAATTGGTGTTAGTTTTATTGGAGGGAGATAAATATATGTAAAGATCACTGTAAAAGAGAAAGAAAGTCATATATGTAATTTAAATGGACCACCGAACACTTTTTCCTATTAAGTTACACGTCTCTGTTGTCTCTGATAGTACTCTTCTAACTTGACTGGCTAGTGCTATTTATCAAACAAATAAATTCACTTGATTTAAAAAAGTTTTAAAAACTTTGGATAACACAAAGTAATTATGTTTCATAGTTTTCAAAAAGTACATTGTTTATTACTTTATAGATGACATAATATTAATATTTAAAAATTATGTACCATAACAATTTAATCAAAATGAATAAATAAATCATCAGATGCGACCGGAAATAAATTAATAGAACTGTTTTTTAAAGAGTATGGAAATGTTATGTCAAAAATAAGGTATTTTTTTAAATTTCTTTTCTGTTGATTCTAATTGGACACTTGGCAACACCACGCTAATTTGTATTGACAGAGCATGACAGATATAACTCTTAATTATTTAAGAAAATCATAACAGCAACTCAATCAAACCTTTCGTTTTAGAGTTATCGTGCCGGCATACATACACACAGACTACCAGACGAAATTTTTTTTTCGCATTTTCGGAAAAGTATAAAGAAATGGGGACAAGAAAATTGTTTCGTCTGCACAAATGCAATACTGAGGCCCCATAGGGAGGGTCTCAGTAATTACTGTACCCCATTCTTATCTAGGTTATAATAAAGAAAAAAAGAAGAATAAGTATATGTCATTCAAGCAGATCACTTTCTTACGCTCTCCCAAACTTTCTCAAGATCATTATTATAATTTATAATAGACTTTCTTGCAATCAACTGCGTTCATAACATTAAATAAATCTCTCACATTTCTACTTATGAAATCAAAATATTTAAAATCATGACGATATCATTCGTCTTAATATTAGCATACAAAACCTAATTAAAACATACCAAAAATGATTTTAAAATCTCAGACTTCAAGAGACTGAAGGATAATTTTAGATAAAAAAAAGATAACTGATCAATAAAATATAAAAGCCACGATTTTTTTGTTCTTTATTTAGTTAGTTTTTGACATACAAATTTTATCTGTTATCAAATCAAACATGTTCAAAGTTGGTGTAGCTATCTGCTTAATTGGTCTTCTGATCAACCAAGCCCAAAGTTTTGAACTTAGCAAATTAAATAGGAGCCATAACGAATGTCCCGACCAAACCAATCCGTAAGTAAATTTAACCAAATATCATTCAATTTAAATTTAATTATCTTATCCTTAGATTTTTATTATTTTAATACTTGTTTTTATTATCTAGTGGAGTCCAAGTAGCAGATCAAACATTGAGCGGTGGTATCTTTGAAAAACTCCATTTTCGGATACCTGAATCTGGTCTCTTAAAGAACAAAATCACTTGCATATTG